AGTTAACATCTCCGAGCCACCGCAACGCTCATCGATTATAAATTCGCACTCATAGTCACAAACACAAACATTCCCCGTGTAGGCTTTAACAGGTTGGGGGCAAGTGCTGTGAGCGAGCCCTTATGAAGGCCACCACCACACCGGGCTCCCTTTGTCCCCTCAGTGCTGATGTTTACGCACCGCAGTACGTAACCATTTAAGGCTGAGTCGACCTGGGGCGAGGGAGCTGCAGGACCGGTGCAAATATTTTGGCAAGTTGAACTCGGCTCACCGGGTTCGGAGTGCAAGTGCGCTCACCACTGCGCCACCGCTCCCCACACAATCGCACTCCCCAACACCATACAGCTAAACACAGGGGTCGACAACCTTCTGAGGAAGAATAACTTTTTATTTATTTGTCTTTGACCAAAATAGACCGAGAGCCACTTGTACACAGACACAGCAGCTGGTATACAGCAGATGACAAAAACAACAACACATTTTGACTTCAACAAAAAACAGGTGATGGAATAAATTGCGTCGATTTAGCTGCCCCCCCCCCCCCCCCCGCTTAGTTATTCTTTAACAATAACAGCTTGCGACTGTTATACATGTTGTCGTCACCAAGATATTCCGATGTGACCCCATTCATCTGCCATATTTAATAAATTATCTCTATGTCCTATTGTGTTTAAAGATTAGTTGTGTTTTTTTAAACGGATGCCCGCATGGAGGCAGTCAAAGAGCCGCAAGGGGGCAGCCAAAGAGTCACAAGGGGGGCAGCCAAAGAGCCACAAGGGAGGGAAGTCAGAGAGTCGGCATGCGGCTCCGGAGCCGCATGTTGCCGACCTCTGAGCTAAACCCATGGCCCAGGCCCCTGTGGCCCTCCACTGGAGTGACGCAGCGCAATCCCCTTCACTCCATCACCGAGCGCAGCTGGAGCAGCGTCACCTCCAGCATCCCGATTGGCCCGAGGCTCCGGTTTGTTTGCCGCGTTAATAAAACCTCGCTGACTTACTTCACTGACGATGGCCTTGCCACGAACGTATACATCTCTAGCTGGAGAAATATTTAAATAGTTTTTGTTACATTGGAAACATGCGTGGATGAAATACGGTGATTTTTCTGGAATATTTTGATGTTTTTTCCTGTATTTTTCTATTTGCGCGTAGTCACTTTAAGATGTTCTTGTTCATATTTTTGTTTGTTGCGGTTGCACCCGATTAACGAGCCGAATGGCTCACAGGGCTATACCAAATACATGAAACTGAAAACTTAAACTAGATATGAATGAACAACCAAACTATGGAGCATGTGGTAACGCCACTGTGGTTTTCACTCCTTCAATGGAGAAGGAGCAGCGAAACGACGCGAACGTTCTGTCTCTCTGACGGAAGCCCTCTCGCCGTGGCTGCCAGCAAAAAATAATAATAATAATACTATACCGGGCACCACCGGTGTACTGCCCGAGACGTTCAAATATTCTACCGCAGAACTCTCCTGAAAACGAGTCTCATGAGACTGGGCAAGGCATTCTTGAACGAGGGCGAGATTGTGTCCTGCTTGCTATTCCTCACACGGGCACGCGTTCATCCTGACAAAACTTAATTCTGGGCCGTTTGTTGCTGGACCGCTCGGCGTGTTTTGGAACCTTTTTGGTGGCCTGTACTTGGTCTCACCTAACGGGAGTTTTCCAAACATCCCAGAGCAACAGAGCTGCGCTGGGTTACAGAGAGCCCGGAGACTCGGTGGGGAAAAAGAAAAACACGCGAATGATAAACTTTACACAATTTTTGTTATTTTACCAGGCAAGGCCCATTGAGCTACTTAGGTCTTTTCAGAAGCGATCTAGCCATTAATTATAGCTCAACGAAATGGCTCCTCATCATCGCCTGGACATTTCTATCAGCCAAATACTCTAAACGCGTAATGTTGATTTTAAATGTGTAGGGGAAAAACCGGAGGACCCGGAGAAAATCCACGCGACCACGGGGAGATAACATGCAAACCTCAAATATACAGCAGGCGTCAGGTTCGGGATCGAACCCACAACGTCCTCCATACCAGGCGAGGTAGTTAACATCTCGCCACCGTGGCGCAGACAAGGTAGGGGTGAGAGATATTAATTTGATTTTTATCATATGAAGTATCTCCACAGTGCCAAAATAAAACTGCTTCAATATTGTTTTAATTTGAGCAGCTTACCAAACTCCACGACCTTCTGTATACAAGGCGAGGTAGTTAACATTTCGCCACCGCGGCATCCCCAGATTGTGTTTACATCTTGGTGTCGAATAGAGCGCTGGTTTTAAAACAACAGCGACGGAGTCCCCCCTCCCATCCCTCTGCTGCCCCTTACGGCGTGGTCGCCAGAGAGAGAGAGATACAATTCAACTCGACCCGGTCAGGGTGGAAGCCGATCCGGTCTAACCCGAGGCCGCTCCTTCTCCGCGTGCGTTGCGGAAAAAAAAAACGTATTCACGACGACGAGACGAGAGCAGATGTCGTTCGTGCGGTGGCACGGCCCCGCGGCATCCGCGAATTCATGCGAAAAGACTTCCCGATGGTTCGAATCTCAGCGGCCGCCCTAGTTAGCGCCGCTCGAACATCGGCTGTAACGTGCTTCACGGGGCACGATTGGCTGGCGTGACGGTGCGAAATAAGTTCAACATGCTCTACGTACATAAACAAAGAGAAGGAAAAGATCCCCCGTATAGCCTAGACAGGCTGTTGGGACAGGTGCTGTTAGCGAGTAGCACCGATGAAGGCCGGCACGGCACACGAAGGGGTGGGTGGCCAACACCACGCCCGGCCGCCTTTGTCTCCCCAGTGGCGATGTTTACACGCACCTCACCAGCTACTCATTTGAAGCTGAATAGACCGAGGGCGAGGCCCCATGACATGTTGAGATAATCGTCGACTGGTGTAGGCCGTGAGCGGGTATCGAACTCAGGTCATAGCCGGCTTCGTAGCGCGGCGTAGCACTAACCGCTACACCACCACTACCCACCCATACGTACATACACACACATTCACTCGCTGTCGACGTTAAAGATCTCGCGAGGTGATTTGCGAAGAAGAGTGGGCCATTGCGTGCCGGCGCCAGAGTCCAAATGTTTCCCCGATTTCGAAAACCGAACACCGTGAATTACTCAACTGTGGATTGGCCCCCGACTGGCAGACTGATGCCGCCCCTATTAGGACATCTGTGAGAGGGGGGGGGGAGCTTTGCAGCTCATCGGATTCCTCCTCCAGAAAAAAAAATCAGATTCTGATTGCGTCGTAGCAAATGAGACTCACCCTCTACTCCTGGACTCTTTTGAAGTCCTCGCCTGGCGAAACAAAATAAATCACCTGACGAACAGATCGGGTGACAGCCACGATGATTTTGATCACCCTCATTTAAATACGAACAAAAGCGACGACATGAGTATGTGCTCATTATATGTTGTTACGAAATACGACGGCGCAATGACTACATTGTCACTCGGGTCTCGGGCACACACTGTGGGCCAATGCGCGCTCGCGGTCACCGTGCGAACGCATCACATTGCAGCCACCACCCCGACTCCACGTCTCCTCCTGCCTGTGTGACAACTCGGCAGGCTCCTCCTGAAGAGGAGCCGCGAGACTCGGCGAGGCAGGGCGTGGGGTGATGCGAGCAGGGTAGTGGATGGGTGGATGGGAAGTCCCGGGGAGAGGGATTGGGTAGTGGATGGGTGGATGGGTGCTCACGGGGAGAGGGATTGGGTAGTGGATGGTTGGATGAAAAGTCCCGGGGAGAGGGATTGGGTAGTGGATGGTTGGATGAAAAGTCCCGGGGAGAGGGATTGGGTAGTGGATGGGTGGATGGGTGCTCACGGGGAGAGGGATTGGGTAGTGGATGGTTGGATGAAAAGTCCCGGGGAGAGGGATTGGGTAGTGGATGGGTGGATGGGTGCTCACGGGGAGAGGGATTGGGTAGTGGATGGTTGGATGAAAAGTCCCGGGGAGAGGGATTGGGTAGTGGATGGGTGGATGGGTGCTCACGGGGAGAGGAATTGGGTCGTGGATGGGTGGATGGGTGCTCACGGGGAGAGGGATTGGGTCGTGGATGGGTGGATGGGTGCTCACGGGGAGAGGAATTGGGTCGTGGATGGGTGGATGGGGACTCACGGGGAGAGGGATTGTGTAGTGGATGGGTGGATGGATGCTCACGGGGAGAGGAATTGGGTCGTGGATGGGTGGATGGATGCTCACGGGGAGAGGAATTGGGTCGTGGATGGGTGGATGGGTGCTCACGGGGAGAGGAATTGGGTCGTGGATGGGTGGATGGGGACTCACGGGGAGAGGGATTGGGTAGTGGATGGGTGGATGGATGCTCACGGGGAGAGGAATTGGGTCGTGGATGGGTGGATGGATGCTCACGGGGAGAGGAATTGGGTCGTGGATGGGTGGATGGGCGCTCACGGGGAGAGGAATTGGGTCGTGGATGGGTGGATGGATGCTCACGGGGAGAGGAATTGGGTCGTGGATGGGTGGATGGATGCTCACGGGGAGAGGAATTGGGTCGTGGATGGGTGGATGGATGCTCACGGGGAGAGGAATTGGGTCGTGGATGGGTGGATGGACGCTCACGGGGAGAGGGATTGGGTAGTGGATGGGTGGATGGATGCTCACGGGGAGAGGAATTGGGTCGTGGATGGGTGGATGGATGCTCACGGGGAGAGGAATTGGGTCGTGGATGGGTGGATGGGTGCTCACGGGGAGAGGAATTGGGTCGTGGATGGGTGGATGGGCGCTCACGGGGAGAGGGACTGGGTAGTGGATGGAAAGTCCCGGGGAGAGAGATTGGGTAGTGGATGGGTGGATGGATGCTCACGGGGAGAGGAATTGGGTCGTGGATGGGTGGATGGGTGCTCACGGGGAGAGGAATTGGGTCGTGGATGGGTGGATGGGCGCTCACGGGGAGAGGGATTGGGTAGTGGATGGGTGGATGGGGACTCACGGGGAGAGGGATTGGGTCGTGGATGGCTACTCACGGGTAGATGGATTGGTCCGTGCCGGTAGATCCGGCCGCAGACTCGGCCGCGAGAGGGAGGGTCCCATTCTCGATGCGCCGCACCCATCCGTCTCCACTTGGAATCCAATTTGCCTCCATCCCCTCCGCCAGCTGCGAGCTCTCTGCGTCTCTCTCTCACCTCGCTCTCTCTCTCTCTGTGTAGCGTTCTCTCTCTCCCCCCCTCTCTCGGTCGTTCTCTCTAATACACCATCATCTCCCCCCCCACCACGGCCGTGTCCTCCCGGTGTCTCTGCGCGGGTCGCTCTCTCTCTCTCTGTGTGTGTGTCTGTCTGTACGGCGCCGCTCACTCTCAATGCCACCACTGTTTGCTTCCCCTTCACACAAAGCCTCTTCCCTCCCACCCCCTCCGAGATTTCCCTATCTCTCTCGGTTCTTTCCCTCCCCTCTCCTCCCTCGCTCTCCTATTTTTTACGATCCGAGAAAACAAGAAGATGCTCGGTGTAGTCGGCACTATACTCCGTTCATCATTTCGTTTTTTTAAACTTTGCTTTATGTAAACCCCCCCCCCCTTTTTAATTGAAAGATTTCACAATAAATTTCACGCTCTGCACTCCTTACCCCTTCCCTCTCTCTCTACCCCCTCTCTCCCTACTCCATGACTATATTCCCTCTCTCTCCTTGCTTTCCCTTCTCTCCGCTACTTTTCACTGGGCTCCCCCCCCCCCCCCTCTCAATCTCTCCTTCGCCACTCCGCGTCGGTCAATTGCCCCCAATTTGCTGCACACACGGCAGTCACTCCTCCCCCCACCACCCTCTCTGTGTGTGTGTGCGCGCGCGTGTGTCTGTTGTGTGTTAACAGAACACAGAATCCCACAGGCGGTGGTGCCGGGAGCACTTGACGCGCTCCGGACAGAGGTGGCCTCTTGCCGGTGGTGGAGGGCGCATCTCAGCCGTGACGCGACGATGGTAATTCCAGCAGCTGTGCCGGGCCGGACTGAGCCCTCCCTGGAGACCGCAACGAAGCCTTCACACAGACGTCGAGTGCCTCTCCCTCCTCTTCTCTCTCCACCCACCCACGCACCAACCCACCCACCCCATCCCGTCCACCCATCCCATCCCGGCTCCATCCTCGCATCCCATCACCGTCTCCACCCTCCCATCCCACCCCGGCTCCATCCTCCCATCCCACCCCGGCTCCATCCTCCCATCCCACCCCGGCTCCATCCTCCCATCCCACCCCGGCTCCATCCTCCCATCCCACCCCGTCACCATCCTCCCATCCCATGGTCTCTGGCCGTCCGCTGATTCCCCCCGCACCGCTGCTGTCATCGGGTTTTAGGCTTAGGGGTGCTCGTCGCTGTTGTGTCGGGCAGGTTTTCACCGGCGTTTCTCATCGCGTTCGATGTTGCGTGGGGATTTATTGTCTGTCATTTTATTACATCCATTACATTCGGGGTTCACTTTCCTAGTTTGCGGTATGTAATATCAGTATCGTTAGGGCGCCGTGGTGGTGTGATGTTAAATACCTCGCCTGGTATACAGAGGGCTTTGGATTCGATCCCGACTCTGACACTCGTATATTTGTCTCTCCCCGTGGTCGGGTGCTCTGTAAACTTTATTTTATCTTACCAGGCAAGGCCCACTGCGTTTTCTAGCTCTTTTCCAGAAGCGACCTGGGCACAATTGATAGCTCAACGGAGTGGATGCTTGTGATCGTGTGGCAATTTACAGCATCCAAATACTCTGAACGCGTGATGTTGATTCTGAATGTGGAGGGGAAAAACCGAAGGACCGGGAGAAAAATCCACGCCACCACCGGGGAAGAGAGAGAGAGACACGCAGAATCCAAATATACAGCAGGCGTCAGGGGTCGGGATCGAACCCACTCGCTCCTGCATACCGGGCGAGAGAGTCAACATCTCCTAGCCAATGCAGCGCCCCATTCCTTCGGTGCATCTTGAGTCGATACTCTAGGGGTCGATGCCTCCACTTCCTCCCCCTTACAGGGACCTGAGGCAAGGCGCCGTCGTCTCTCGTAGCGAGCGGTCGAAAGTTGCTGCGGCTACAAGCGGTGGTGTAAGTGGTCTCAGGGGAAAGCGAACTTGATTTGCAATTCAGAGTTCGCCGGTTCTATTCCATCTCCCGGCGGCGGCGGCGGCGGTTCAAAACAGCGGTGCAGGTTTCCTAAATCCCTCCAACCCTCACCCACCCACCTCCGATCACCCAGCAGTCGAAATCAGGATCTTGATATTGCTCTTGGAGAAATCCGATGAGCCACAAAGCTTTTTTTCACAGATGTCCAGTCAGGGCGGCGAGTCATAAAGCTACGATGACAACGACAAGATGATAGGTGTGCAACGTATAGGAAAGGTAAACAATATTCATAGGGTGCACCACGGTCTATGATTGGCAGGTGGCGTGTGGTGGGGTAAAGTGTGGGTACACCCAGCCCTGACCAGCGTGGCCCAAATCTCGTCCGAGAGTGGTTCCCAAGGGCTCTCTCCCTCGAGTGGGAGGCTCTTCCGCCAGAAGTGGAGTGAGCAGGCAATTGCAGGGCTGCTCCTCCGAGCTCTCGCTAAATGGCGGCACAAAAACCGGCAACAGCAATCATGTTCCGTGACCTTGACGCGACATTGTGGGCCTTCGCCTTTTACATTCCACGGTAACAGTCCTCGACTTACGAACACAATTTGTCAGTCGAACGGTTCGTAAGTCATAACGCAGTAATCTACTCCATATTTAAATGCCCCCACACACAAGCACTCACTCCCAGCACGAGGCTGACTCATTTACATCTCGCGAACGATCGCTCGGCCGAACATAAATAGTGCCGCGGTTCAATTTGCAAGTGGGAGTTGGCGTTTTAAGTCGATGCTTAAAACACAAATCTTTCATGGAAGCTGATTCGTAAGTGTGGGTGCTCGTAAGTGCGGGGTTCGTAAGTCGGGGACTGTCATATTTTATTTCGTGCGCATTTGAAGGTTCGGATCCCCCCCCCGCACCTATAAAGGCACGCCCAGCAGTGTCACCCGGATTATGACGACGATGCCTGTGACGTCACACGAAGCCCCGCCCATCACCCTCTCGTGCACCGACACACGTGGGAACAGAGGTACCAGTGCCCATCTTGTTGCGTGTGATATCCGATGGGTCGATAATCTCTACGGTCGTCGAATCCAGCGCTCGAGTGATCGGCTAGCCCGATCACTCGAGCATCGATCTTTGTTGTTGAAAAATCGGCAGGAATTTATCCAATTTTCCAATATGTACTCATATACTTATTCTATTCTATGTATTTACGTTTAAAGATTTGCTTGCCTTTCCTATACTTTGCATTCCAGTAGTTTTTTTTTATTGTTTGTTGTAACTTTATGACTCAGTGCCCCCAATGAACATCTGCGCAAAAGAGCTTTATAGCTAATCGGATTTCTCCAGGACAAAAATAAAGATTCTGACCCTGATCTCCCAGACCAACGGCGGTCCGTCCCCTGCTCACGCAGTTGTTACGCACTGCACGCACCTGACGACGAGTACATGATCACACATACAGAAGGATACGTATCATTACACAAACACGGTGCTTGTGCCAGGCTATGTGCACACTGACAGTCGAATGCTATTTAGCAGGTCCCAGGTGGTCCCAGGTGTTGCGTACAAAGATAAATATCCCCCATTTAGTTTTAACAAAACCGTTGGAGCAAGTGCTGTTAGCGAGCATCTTTTAAGGCTGGCACGGTGCAAGAGGGGGTGGGTGGGTGGTCAGCACTACGCTCGACCATCTTTGTCTCCCGAACGTTGACGTAAGCACACCGCACCAGGTACCCGTTTAAGGCTGAGTCAACCCAGGGGAGGCCCACGACCGGTTCGGATATCAGGCGCACCGATGTTCGCTGCGAGCAGGAATCGAACTCGGGTCTCTGCTGGGTTCGTGGCGCAGTGCGCTAACCGCTGCGCCACTGCTCCCCACCGTGTGTGCGGAACACACGCGCACCCACGATCTCCATCTCAGTTTGCATCGGGGCTCAATGTAAAATAATAAGACTCCAAGCAAAGGTATCTTCCAAGATCAATATTAAACAATTATAGACAGTCGTCGAAGTGCGTGGTTGAAATGTTGGCAACATATTGCTCATACATAAAAAACACATGTATTTTAAACAAAATCGCCTCAAGTGATGTTATAATTACTATTATTATCGCTTGGTGGCTGTGCCGCACGTGCCTGTCTGTAATTAAGCACTGCGGAGATGAGCAGCGAGGGTTGGCGGATCACACACAGATGGCGTGAATCCTCCCTCCCCTCCCCTGGGCGTCGAGGAGGTGCCGCACCCTGGCTCGCGAGGAGGTCGTGGGTTCGATCCCGACCCTGACGCCCGCTCACTATTTGGAGTTCTGCGTGTTTTCTCTACCGTGGTCACGTGGACTGTTCTCCGGGTCCTACGTCTTTTTCCCACGCGATGAAAATCCCAGAGCGTTAGTAGACCAGGGAGCCAGTGGAGTTGGGAAAGGAGATCAGAAGTGTGAGAATCGTGGATTGCACGTCTGATTCACTTCTTTCGCACCACACATGGAGCGAACCGCGCGAATCGGAGGTGCGGAGGGGGTCAACAAACTGAAGACCAAAAGCAGTTATGGAATGGCAGCCCGGGTGATAGAACGCATCGGATAGGAGGGCAACCCTGGAGATGGAGCGACGAGTGTGTGCGGACGGTGGTATGGACGGCAGAAGCCGCTAGACCGCAACGGATGGTGACGGTGTGCGGAGACCTTCATACAGCAGTGGATTGATTATGGCCGATGACGACGACGAATTCATATATTATCTCCACGTCACGCCATGTTGTGTGCTTACGTGGTGACGATGCGATTCTCGTGATTACCCATTTAACCTCGCATTTGATTGTTAAACACGGCTTCCCCTTCGGTGTTCCTGCATCATCCCCTCACTCAGTCGTGAACCGACCGACTGCACCTGAGTGGGTGCCCGTGTATCGTAATTCGAGAGACGCGTGACACTCACAGCACTCACGAGCCACTCACAACGTGTCGCTTCGGCAGCACCTGCGGGATATTATTCCCACTGGCATGCAAATGCATCGTTTGAAAAATAGGAATAGGTTGTACCCTTTTTCTGGCAATAAAACAGGTGTTTAGATGATCTAACGGCAAATCGATACCTTTCGCAC